AATACAGCTGCCATAAGGACATGTCAAGGAAGTATGATTGATTTGTGCAACAGCCTACGTCCTATTTTCTGGGTCAGTGGGGAGATGTATCATAACAAGGATAAAATCATGCAGATTTATTTGCTTCATCTGTAAAAACTTTCCCGCTGCACTCTGGGACACACTGCAATGTATCACAAGAGAAAGCCCAGGAGTTTAATAAATGTCTTCCTTTATTACAGTCCGCCCACTGAGCATTTATCATACAGCAACCTGGCATGGCTGGTCCCATGGGATTCGCCCTGAATGAAATTTCTCACTCTGTTACTGCTCAGGCACCCAGAATAACACATCACATGGCGGCAGGGGCCTGTCCTCTGAGAATGGGGGCTGTGTGGCAAGAGCCATCATGTGCCAGAGAGATGACCCACAGGCTGGGTCTCAGGAGCATTGCTGAAGCAGTGTCCGGGAAAGGCAGGTCAGCAGCTGAAACGGCAAAGAAGCAACAAGGATAGGGCCCAGGCCGCTATGGGGAGTCTAATCTTCCTTAATAACTCATTATAGATCTGTCACCCATGAATTTATCTAAACCTTGTTTGACTCTGTTTTCAGGCTGCCTCACCACTTAGGTTAAGGAGGTGGATGGTTTTATTGAAACTTCAAATACAAAACTAAGGCATTAAAACAAAGGTGATCAGATAACCACCTCAAGTAGGCATGTCATTTTTAAAAGGGTAATTTTTATGTTGATCAGTCTCTGCTAACCAAAGTCCGTGATTCAAAAAGAGCTTCTTTACAGACACTGAAGTTGGCAGCATCCAGTCCTAAGGACTCTAATACATCTACATAATGGATAAAAGAGACAAACTGGATGGATGCAAATAAATGGGGCACTGGATGAGCTGTGCAAACAATGAGCAGATGCAGTATAATGAGATAGTGGCTGAGAAGGGGAGGAGATGTAATTATACCAATCCTCACGTCCTCCCTCTGCAGTGATTGCCACCCTGGCAGGAAAGGGCTCCAGGAGGGAGCGATTTCCCAACCTCATTCAATCCAGTCCAATTCAACAAGCATTTATTAAACACCTATTGCATGTCAGGCACTATGGATCCCCAGGCATTGAGGATACAAAGACAAACATGAAAAGAAGGTTCAGGACCATAATAAAAAAAAAAATCTGCTTCTCTTAATATAATATAATAAGCCTTTATGACTATATTATTTGATGGTTGTATCTTTACCAGCAAATAGTCTCAACAAGCATTTTAGAATGGGTATCATTCTCCTTGTTTTCAAATCCTCCCATCTCTAAATGTCTGAATTTTGTAAAATTCACTCCAGGTTCTACCCTGTGGTGTAGTAGGCTCTAAAGCAGCCCAGAGACAATGGGACATTGTCCAGAAGGTGGCGCTAGATTCACGTTAACAGCCACTATTTGTTTTATTCAGGTAATTACACAGGCTGGAAGGAGCCAAGCACGCTTGGAAGCTGGTAGGATCATGACTGAATTTTTCTGTTCCTTGTCCTTCACAGATACCTGCCTAAGTCCCTTATGAATCTATGTTATGTCTTTCTGGTGGTAGCATGGTGGGCTCAAATGACTTGAGTTTTAGCCTCGCTGTGCCCCAATCATTGGTGTGACTACAGGAAGGTCATTCAGTTTTCCTTCACTTGTTATATTATCTGTAAAATGGCAGAATTTAATTAGACAAAATTAAGCATTACTTTAAAATCCTTTGGCGTGGTGCAGTGGCAAGCATGCCAGCTTTGGAGGTGGGGGACCTGGGTTCAGAGCCAGGCTCTGTCTGCCACCTACTATCAATGTGACCTTGGGCAAGTCACTTATCCTCTGTATTCCTCAGTTATCCATCTATTAAATGAGAGTTGGAATAAATGGGCTATGGTCTCTTCCAGCTCTAAATCCAAGATCCTATGATCCTTTCAGCTCTAATCTCCTATGATAATACAGTATGACTCCAGATATCCCCCAAAGCATAAGAACTGGGGTTATTTGTGAAGTCAAATTTCTGCAAGTCAGGTGAGCTTCGGTACATGCAATGAATGAATTGGCAAATGTTACCCTTACAAAATCTATAAGCAATAGCAAACCTCTGAGAACAAACTAGTCCTAAAAATTCCCTGGCCATATGTGGACAATTACATACTGATCTCTCCAATTTAACCATCCCACCCACACGTCCTAGTGCAGCTAGTGTCTGGAAGAGTTAGCATATTAACCACTTCACACATCAGATACTCCAAGAAAAGCACTATTTCTGTGTGACTTGAGCAACCAAACAATGACAATAAACCCAGCAGACTCAAGGCTTTGTTGAGGGGAGAATCTTACAATGGGCCCCTGGATAAGTGAAAACACTTCTCTAGAAAGAAGACTTATGTTATCATTGCTGAACCCTTTTTGTGGTTGGTACTTCTCCAGGCATCACACAAATACTTAACTAGCCTGTTTGGAATACTCACCTCCCACTAGGACTCAGCTGCAGAGAATGCATTGACCTCATAGAGGTTCCTTATCCAGGAATCCCTGTGTTAGCGAAATCATAGGTCTCTATCCTTGCTATGGTCCTAGCTACAACCACACATGGAAGTAACTTTGGATTCTCAAAGACTATGCCAGCAGATCCAAGGTTCCAGTAATGTCCTACGAAGCTTGAAAGGTCCATGGAATAATTGTCATGCTTAGGTCTGATAACTGACTACGTGGGGGTGTCTTCTGAGAACCAGCCTACCTAAGATGGGAGAGTCTCATCACTAGGTGATGAGTGTATTTTAGTCACAAAAATGTTAAGAAATCTCAGTACATGGAGGGGTTGTGATCTGCACCAATGGAAAAAATATTAACACCAACTCTATCACAAGACTTTTGAAGAATGGAAGTAATCTAACAAAATCCACAATCACCAAAGATTCCAATGAGTTCAGTCCACTTTTTTTTCCTTTTACTAAGGAAGGAAAGTAGATTAGTACCATTTTTACATAATTTACATAGAGTTTAAACAATATGGATTCAAATTTTTTAAAAATGGATTCAGATTATAACCCTCACTTAACCAGAAAATTCAGTTAACCAGAACCTCCATTACTCTTTCCATTACCCAGAATCTGATTAATGGAAGACTTATTGCAATAACCTGGTTTGAGCTGTCAGATCCAGAGGTAAGATAACAGGTTCTTTGTTTCATAGCTAATGTTTTCAACCAGTCTTCTGCACTTTCTCTACCCCAACCCTGTTACCCCTGAAATAAAGAAATACAGGAACACCTGACAGATCTGTGATTTTGCTAGTGGAGGAACTCTGGTGGAAGAAGTCCCACCAACCACCTATGACTCAGTGACTCAGTTTTAGGTAGCAGCTTGAGGTACTAAGAGTGGTTCAGCGGCTTCCCTGGGCTATCACAGCTAGTATCAGAGTGGGAATTTGAACCCATGATAGAGGCAGGATTCAAGCTCAGTCCTTCTAACAACCAAATCTAGAATGCAGTAAAGCAATAATAATAATGCATACCATTTATAATTCTGCATACCATCTATATGCCATTCATGTAATAATAATAATGCATACCATGTACCAGGCACTGTGCTAAGTGCTTTACAAATATTATATCATTAGAACCTCACAAATAACCTGAAAGGTAGATGCTACTTATTATCCCCATTTTACAGATGAAGGAAATGAGGGAAACAGGTTAAGTAACTAGCCCAGTGTCACACAGCTAGTAAGCACTGGATTTGAAATCAGGTCTTTGTGACTTCAGACCCAGCACTCCATCCATTGCACCACTGAACTGTCTCCAAGTTGAAAGAGTATTAGATGGGGAGATAGAGGATCTGGAATCTTCTGGCTGCCACTTGTGTGAATTTGGCAAGCCAATTAATCTCTTTAGACCTTAGTTTTTTTTCATTCTAAAGTGAAGGGGGTTGATGACCTCTGCTGCTGATAATATTTTCTACCTTTAAATCTATGGGTGTTCCTCTTTTGCTACTAGGTTGAACCCAAACCACTAATTAATATTACTCTTTACAAACCTAAAGGAAGTGATACACAGTAATCATACCATTCATTGAAAAGAATATAATTTCTGTTTTTGAACTATACTCCAAGTTCTCTTTCTACAAATACACTCTCACTGTACTCATCATTCCCCCATCTCTCCCCCTTTCTCATACAGGGATGGTCAACTACCCTTTACTCAAGGTTTGATTCTGCAGTTGTGAATTATCCAGACCCCTTCCTTCCCCTCCTTTTTCCTGTGATTTGCCTTTAACATTTTCATTGTTCACTGGAAACTCTAACTCAGAGATTACTCATGGAAAGGCAGAGAAAGCAAAAATCCAAGCAGTCAAGCTCAGGTCAATGAGCTGACAGGCTGAAATTATTAATGAAAATGGAATTTGGAGATTACTGTGGGTTTTAAGCTGCTATCCCAATTTCCCAGAAACATCAACAAGCAAAATATGAATATAGACCCTTAAGAGTGTGGAATTTCCTTGTCTTTTATAGTCATTACTCTAAATAAATGCTGCTACTCCAGCTAGCCCTGAGAGACCCAAGCAGTAGGAGAAGCCCTGATGAAAGCCATAGCTCCTGCAGTTACTTCCCCATGGCCAAGTTTCTTGGTGGCACATGTGGCCCTGACCCTGGCCCCAGAGGACTGGGGTAGTTTGTTGTTGCCATAACTAAGATAACTGACTGGCCATGAAGACGATCCTGTCAGAGGGGAGGGAAATGTTGCTATGATGCCTTTGGCAACCTGGGTACTCATAGACAGGTGCCCTGTTTGCCTGGAAAATGACCTCTGCAGAGAACCAGTCTCACAAAATGCTACAGCCCCATTTGGATCTGCTACAGAGACATTTTGTTCAAGAGCTGAGGGATTACTGCAAGCATCTAATCTGCCAAGTTCTCACCACTAAGTAATTTATAGCATCCATTACATTAAGGTTTTAAATATAGTTTCTCATCAAGGCAAGCACATCATAAAGGAGTGTTGACTTACGATCCCGTTCTGCACGCTAAAGCCCAGCTGGTATTTCAGGTCAGGTCGTTTGATGAGGACAGTTGTGACAGGTGGACAGCTGACAATGTTGAGTTTCACTTGTGTCTGATTCTTCAAACCCTATCAAACAGGCAGAGATATGTATGATTATGCTAACTAAAATAACCTGGGCATCTTCAGAATCACAGAAATTTTAGAGATGAAAACAACCTTAGTAATCACATAGACTAACTACCTCATGTGGGAATGTAAGATCTTTGAAAGTAGGGATTGTTTCAATCTTTGTATTTGTATCTCCAGGACCTGACAGTCCCTGGCACACAGTAGGTGCTTAATAAATGCTCTTGTTTGATTTTACAGATGAGGAAACTGAAGACCAAAGAACACAGGATTCAGATTTGGAAAGAATCTTAAGCATCTTCTAGTTTAACCAATTCACTTTACAGATTAGGAAACTGAGTAACTTCTCCCAAGATCACAGAGGTTTTTCCCAGGTCAACTGACTCCAAAGCCAGTGCTTTTGCCACCACTCCATAGACATTAATTGATTTGCCCAAAGTCATATAATTAATTAGTGGCAGAGCCTAACAATATAGTGGGGTGAAACCAGTTGGCTTAACCTAATTCATCTTATTCACATCCTCTTTCCTGTAATTACTGTGAAGCACAAATATTAGCTTCCCTTTGTGACCCAAATCCTCTCAAAAACTGGTATACAAAATCTGCAGGTGAGGATGTTACCTTAGCATAATCTCTGTTTAGACAAGCATAGTTTTAATGTATCCAGGTTAGAAACTGAGTGGAGGTGTTAGAAGCATTAAGATGCAGCCTGAATACTGGGGTAGCAGAAATTGAAAGAAAGGAGAAAAGAAAAATGGAAGCTACTTCTACACCACACTAGTTGTCTCGCTGGTAGAATCAGCCCTTGCTGTTCCATATCACCACAGGGGTTCATCTATGACTCCACTAAGGCCTCTTTCATCCTTACCTGAGCTCTCTGGTACAGTTTGCCACAGAAAACTTTCACTCTGGTTCCCAAGACGAAGCAACGGGGATCTCTACTTGGTTCAATTGTTCCTATGCTCAGATGTAGTACCTTTAAGACACTGAGGCTTCAACATTTCCAAGCTGAGAATTGGTTTCTAGACACTAAGGCTTCACATTCATCCATTTAACAAGTTTCAAATACCCTTCTTTTCCTACATTCCAGTGCCATGCTAAGAGCCAGCCCAAGGAATGGACATAAGAAGAAGGAAGTAAACTATCTGGAAAGATTGTAGATGCTAATATAATAAACCCATGTATGAGGGAAACTTGTCTACAATGCTCTACCATAGCCTTGAGAAGTAGGTGGTAAGAATACTTATTGTTTGGTTTCATTATTTGTTTTTTTGTTTTTTGTTTGTTTGGTTTTACTTTACATTCTGTTTTAAGTAAATGTTCTACTTTATCAAGATGCCATGCATTTTATTATGGCTTGGTAGAGAAGGTACAGCGGAAATGAAAACCTGTAAGCTATGGATGACATCTTCAGTATGATGGTCCTGGGAGTAACAATACAGCAGAATATTAAGGGTGCCCTGGATTTCACAATAATACAAGTGAATGTATAAGATGTTTTTAAAAAAATTTGTGCATCAAAATGCTTGAGGAAGTTTTGAGATGTGGGAGATGAGACAAACTCAGAGAGGTTAGGCCAGGTGTTCGGGGAACAGAGAACCTAATTCAGAGAGTAAATCCAAGGAAAGTACTGAGCTGGGATTCAAGCTGGGCTATAAGTAGGGCATTTTAAACGTGGAAACAAGAAGTGTGTTTATGGCCCAGAAAGAAAGCACCTTGATTTCTCCATGACCAAAAAAAAGAGAAATATCTCTGGTGTTGAAATAGGTATGAAAATATGAGTGAGCTAGGAAGTAAAACTGGAAATGGTGACAAAAGCCTTATGTAGGTTTGTTATGCCAAGATACAGTAAGCAAAAAAGTCATACTTTCGATGAAGCAACTGTATTTAGGGGTGTCCAAAGATCTTCCTTTTAGTTTTATATTCGATTAGTCTCAATATTTATACATGTTGGGAAAATAATTTTACACTCAAAAAATAATTGTATAACATGGTATTGCAGAGAATGTTGTTTGGGGAGAGATTCTGTAAGATAAGAGAACGGGGAGGCAGCTAGGTGGCACAGTGGATAGAGCACCAACCCTGAAGTCAGAAAGACCTGAGTTCAAATCTGACCTCAGACACTTAACACTTCCTAGCTGTGTGACCCTGGGCAAGTCACTTAACCCTGATCGCCTAGCCAAAAAAAGCAAAACAAAACAAAACAAAACGTTTTGGGGCAGCTAGGTAATGCAGTGGATAGAGTACCGGCCCTAAAGTCAGGAGGACCTGAGTTCAAATGCAGCCTCAGACACATAACACTTACTAGCTGTATGGCTCTGGGTAAGTCACTTAACCCCAATTGCCTCTCTAAAAAATAACAAACAAAAAAAAAAAAAGATAAGAGAACGGAAAGTGCCTTTGGCACAAAGGCAAAGGGGATGGCTAACAAAATAAATAAATAAATCCATATCTAAAAAATCTTGATATACAGGAACAATATGTCAAATTTAATAAGATGAAATGTAAAGTTTGACATTTGAGTTCAAAAAAATGACTGCTCAGGTTTAGCATGGTGGAAACATGGCTAGACAATGTAAAAAAGACCTATGTCTTTTAATGGGCTGGAAGTCAAGCATGAGGCAACAGTGAGCCCTAAAAGGATAATTTTATCTTCAATTTAGTAGATGTGTGGTGTCCAAAACAAGGCAAGTAATGGTCCTCCTATGATCTGGAGTTCAGATCTAGGTACGACATTTTACCACAATCTAGAACTCATCAGAAGACAATGACCAGGCTGTAAATGGAACTGAGAAGCATGCCATTTGAAGACTGGCTGAAGAAACAATTAATGTTTAACCAGAAGAAAAGAAGATTTGGGGAAAGTGAATGATGAATGAAATGAAAAGCAAATGATAGAAAAGCTATCTTCAAATGAGTTAAAAAGCAGTGGATTTATTTTGCTTGGCTCCAGAAGGAAGAACTAGAAATGAAAGTTAACAGAGATGCCAGTTGTGGCTTGTTATTAGGAAAACTATCCTAGAATGTCGGACTGTAATCTCTTCTATTAGAATGTAATATCCTTGAGAGCAGAGAGTTTTGCTTTTTTCCTTGTGTTCTCAGGGCCTGGCACATAGTAGGTCCCTAATAAATGTTCATTGATTGTCTGATTAATAATTAGTTACCCAAGACTGGAATCAGATGCCTCAGGAAGTAATGGACCCCTCATCTTTTCAATGTCTGGCAGTGGCTTGATGGTGCATGTTGAAGCATTGTGTGGACAGCATACTTATTTTAGGTAACAGATTAGATGACCTTTTTATTGTTGTTGTTCAGTCATTTTTTTGGTCATATCCCACTCTTCACGAACCCATTCCAGGTTTTCTTGGCAGAGATACTGGAGTGGTTTGCCACTTCCTTCTCCAGCTCATTTTACAGATGAGGAAACTGAGGCAAACAGCAAACACAGCTAGTAGGTATCTGAGGTCAGACTTCATCAGCGATATGAGTCTTCCTGACTCCAGGCCCAGTACTCTATCCACTATGCCACATAGCTGCCCCTCAGATGACCTTTTGGGGCCTTGCCAATTCTAAGATGCTATGATTTTTAAAATTCCATGAAAAGTGATGTCCGAGGGCTTTTCTAGCTTAAAGGTTCTGATTCTAAACTGTAATATTTGATTGGGAAGTTTTCCATTTTCCAGCTGCCTGGGGCTGAATTTGGTGATAAAAAGTAAGCATGAAGGCACAGAACAAATTCCTGAAACAACAGGGCCCTCTCTGCCTCTTGTTTTCTTTAGCTGTATATGAAAAGAGCATTTTCTGTGACCAAGAACTACTCCGACAGCATTAAATCAAATTTGCTCCATCTAGCCTAGGGGAACTGTCCTTCTATCAGGCCCAGAGAAGTCTGTTCCCTTTCCTCCATGGCTTTTCCAGTAAGATGACATTTTATCAACACTCAGAACAGCCTGGAGACAATGGGAGCCTTTTGTGTCATTAAAAATGCCTAACCTAAGAAGAGAGTCTCACCCCTACTATCTTATGGGCAGACGTTCATGGAAACGGAGCTTTACAAGGCACCCAGACAACCATTATGTGGAGCTCTTGCCCAGAAAGAGAGGCATCAGGGTGGTACTATGTCCTCCGGCTGACCGGCAGGAAACCAGAACTTGGCTTTCAGCTCTGTGGGGAACCTGGCTGGAAAGCAAAGAATTGAGTTAGCTACATAGCCATATGAAAATCTATCCTCTGGTTTATCTGTATGATTCGCCTATTAGGCAGATTCTATCTGCTTAGTCCAGTGCCGAGACACTGTGTGTTTGATTTCCTGGACCAAACAAAGGCCTTTATTTCACTAGATAAAAAGGAGGAATGAAACCTCTTTCTCTGGCCCCGAAGAACACAGAGGGAGGGAGTGTGGGAGGAGGACAAGGGAACCAGGCCCTCATCCTCTTCTGTAATACTGCGGCCTTGATTAGCTGGTGAATAAATTATAAACTGACAAGATGGTCCTGAATGTATACAAAGCATTGGCTAAATCAGCACTGTGCTCAATAGCTCAGCAGGGGTCCCTAACAACCTTAAACTTGCTGCTTTCTAGAGACACTAAAACACCAGGAAAAAGGAACCTGGACCTACTGGTTCCTAAAATACCTGCCTTCTTTCCCTTTTCCCTGCATAAATGCACACATGCCCCTGTTGGAGGTGACCCCTTATGCTGAACATTCAAATTTACAAATAAATTAGGCAAAGATGAGTTATAGTGCAATAGGTTTTTTAAAAATTTAAATAGAAAGATTTTCATATTTTTCTCTAAATAGTAAACTCCCTTAAGAAATCACTCAAAAAACAATTCATAAACTGGGCCCTAATCCTGGCTCTGCTACTGATTCACTTGGGCAAGTGTCTTCTCTTGAGGCCCAGTTTTCTTGACCTAGAAAATGAAGGTCCCTTTTAGATCTGATACTAGGCAGTATGGCATAGTGGGAGGAGTCCTCCACTGGAATTTAGAAGACATGGGTTCAATTCCTGGCACATGTGACCATCAGGTAAACCAAATGGCATCTCTATCGATCTTTCTAGCTTTGACTTTCAATGATCTTACTATAACTCTTCAGAAACACGTCTTATCATTTAAAATGTGGCACACCAGCAGTCATCTTCCTATTTGTAGTGATACTCTTTATTTCTCTAATAGTAATCAGTAAAAGTTTCAAAGAGTCCAATTTAGGCTTGTTATGGAAAAAAAAAACAAAACAAAACTTCTTAACACTCAGAAGAGCTTTAGGATGCCTTGGAGAAAGTGGGATACTTTTGTTTCATCAAAAGCCTAACTTAAGACCAGCATCTCACCCCTACTATATTATGGGCGAACATTCATGCCTTGTAGACAATCGTCATGTGGAGCTCTTGCCTGGAAAGACAGACATTGGGGTATTACACTGTCCTCAGCTGACTGGCCAAACTGGCCTGCCTCTCCCTGGAGGTCTTCAAGCAATAGCTGGATGCCACTTGTTAGGTATGTTTTAGAGGGTATTACCCAAACTCTGAGGCCTCTTACAACTCTAAGACTCTACAAAATTTTCCTGTCCACACTATAAACACTAAATATTCTATGAGCCCCACTGTGAGGGGTCACTAGGAACAGCAGAGGCCCTGGACTTGAGGAAGCCAATGCCATACATGGCTAAATGTGGAGCATCTCTTCTTCCTGAGTCATGCACTGCATTGGAGGGATGCTGACCTAGCTCTCAGTGAAGCAAAACCAGACTTTTTCTTCTCCCCACTCCCAAAACCCTCACAGAAAGAGTAAGGATCAATGTTATGTCCCCAAAAGTTGATGGGAATGCAGAGAGAGAGAGAGAAGAGAGAGGAGATTAGAAGTACCTTGATGATTCCCTGGCATGTTGCAAGAGGAAGACCCACTAGGCTGGTGCCATTGATTGACATTATCTGGTCTCCAATGCTCAGCTTCCCAGATCGGGCTGCTGGACCTCCATTCATCATGTTAGCCAGAATCACTGTGGGGAGGATGGAACCCCAGCCTGACTCCACGATCACCACACCAAGGATTTCTCCCTTTTGTTTTTCTATATGTAGCTGCAACAAAATAAAATAGTCATTAATGTAACTGGTTCTAATCCTGCACCCACTTGGCATATCAGTAAACAAGCCCTAAACGTGACCCCCACTTTTGAGAACTGGATAAATGCCCGCTCTCTCTATTTGAATCCCAAGGGACTTAGCTGGCTTAATGCCATAATGTGAAGTCATATTAACCTTAGTTAGAGCTCTGCCCTTAAGTTCCAGATTTGGCCACAAGAGGATTTCTTATTATAACATCTAGCAATCGTCTTTCTCCCTCCTTAGCAAAACTTGATCCCTATCACACATATAGTTCCACATGCTAGATAATACCAAGAATTGGGGAATATACAATTAGTGCCTTTGAATTAGTTACACTGCAGGACTTCCAGTAGTTATTATGATGATAATAATAATAATAATAACACTTACACTTATATGAAACTTTAAGGTTAACAAAGCATTTTCCTCACAACTAAGCTCAGTGGATATTATCCCTGTTTTACACGTGATGGTCTGATTGTGATCTTAATTATCAATTAAGGCTACAGAAGTTCCAAGTCTAGGGGGAATTATGACTGACCAATTTTCGTTAAGTAAAATGTTCTTTTTTATTCAATTCCTGGGCCTTTCTGCTAAGAAACCGATAACCAGGTACATACACCACAGACTATGTGTGAAAAGAGACCGCCCTGATGCAGTACATGTTAGCACAGGAAGGAAGGGAAAATGGAAAGCTCTGTTTCTTTTTATGTCATCCTCATATTTAGTTAGGAACAAAGTCCTATCAATTTTTCCTTTCAAATACTGCTCATACCCACTCCTTCCTTCCCGTTTTTACTTACAACCACCTCATCACCTCTCACTTAAACTACTACAGTGTTTTCGTGCATGGTCTCCCTACCTCCAGGCTCTCCTTTTCAATCCAGCCTGTCTACCTCCATTGGACCAAACATCTTTAGACATAGCCTTTAATTCTGTTGGTCCCCTACTCAGAGATATTCAGTAATTTTACAGTTCTTATGACATCAAAGCTAAATTCTTTTGCCTAGTATTCAAGGTCCTAACTTTAGCTTCCACTGAATCTCAAAACACATCTTTGATACTGCCCCTGCTCCATGACATGCCATGCTCACCTGACCTCTAGGTCTTTGTTCATCCTGCATCCCTCAGTTAGCATACACTCCCATTTTCCCCTCTGTGTACAAAGATTGTATCCATCCCTCAGGTTTTTTTAAATGTGTTCTCCTACAAGGAGTCTTCTCAGCTTGAGAACACTGTTCATTCAATCAATCAGTAAGTAAGCTTTTATTGAGTGGAAATCATGCTCTTTTAAAAGGCAAGTGCTAGGAGGGAAAAAATGCATATGACACAGTCCCTACCCTGAATCAGATTATAGTCTACCTAGGGATATAAGACTATAAATTTAAAAAATAATAATAACTAGCATGGCCAGATAGTATATGAGTGGTACAGACATTAAGAGCTAATGGAGATCAGAGACAAAAGAGATCTTTGTGGTTTATAGAGTATAGCAAAGGCTTTGTGGAGGAAGTGGCACTCCAATTGGACTGGCAAATAGTAGGGACGTTATAAATGTTTGTTGATTAATTAATGGAAGGTAGAAGACTGGGAAAGGGTATGATTTATCAAAGGAAAGAGGATACTCTTGGCAAAGGAAACAATGGGAACAAAAGTGTGTTTAAGAGATGATGAATAAATGAGTGAGGTATGGTGATACATAGAGAAATAGTACAAAATAATTATAGAGAGGTGAGCTGTAGTTAGACTGTGGTGGACCTTGAATGCTGGGTAGTAAAGATTAGGCTTGAAGTAATTAGATAATCTTTTTGTTTTTGTTTTGTTTTCGTTTTTCGTTCTTACCAGAAAAAGGATATATACAATATGGTGTTTTAGGAAGATTAATCTGACTTGGATGTATAGGACAGATTGGAGGAAAGACTGTAGTTAAGAACCAGTTAGATCTCTGATCTCCCTCTTCTTTTCACTCTTACAGGAATTACTATCTGTATCATACAATTTAGCACCTATAGTAATTATAATCTCCTTTGTAAGCAATGCATAGCCTAGCATTCCAAGGTGTAGACTTACACAGATGGGGTTCAGTGTTAGGGTGCTCCCCCAGTTGTTCTCTGACTCATACTTCCCTTACTCAGAGCTGTGTATGGAAAAACTCAGACTATAACTCATGTCTACATCCATACAAAAGGAGGTAAAAGGATCCCCAGATCCCACATAAGCACTCAGGGTAACAAACATATGTATTAGGTATAGGATAGCCTTTAGTCTTCTGCACAGGAAATACAAAAGACACATAAAGGATTCAGAGTAACTAACTGAATACCATTCTCTTTACAATCTTCTCCAAAGGTTTTAAAGTCCTCCAGACTCATAGCACCACCCTGTGGTTTGGAGACATCCTACACAAATAATTAAATATCGTTTCATGTGTATGTATCTGAAATCTCCAGTTAGACTAAAAGCTCCTAAAAGGTAAGGATATTTTATATTATTTCGATCTTCCACGTATGGTAATAAATTCTTGATGATTGGTTATTAGCCCAGGTCAATTCTGACTTGAATGAAGTCGCTATAAGCCCAATCTCTATTCCTTTTCCACCGTACCTAATATTTGGAGAGTGAATACTGAAAGCTCAGAAGACATCACCAGAATACTATTTTGGACCTTCCATATTTTCCAAGAAAAAGATTAGCTCTACTCCCATTCAATGTACACTCACTGGAGCAAGCAAGTCTTCTCTGAATTAATGTCCCAGCAGGCCTCAACCAGAGAGAATAGAAAGGATCTAGTAGGCTGTAAAGGACAGTGGGGTGATGCAGTGGATAGAGGGCCAGGCCTACAGTCAGGGAGCCTTCCTTGTCTTCCTAAGTTCAAAGCTGGCCTCAGTCACTTACTAGCTGTCTGACCCCGGGCAAGTCACTTAACCTGTTTGCCTCATCTGTAAAACAAAATGGAGAAGGAAATGGCAAACTACTACAGTATCCTTGCCAAGAAAACCCCAAATGGGGTCATGAAGAGTCAAACATGACTGACAATGACTGAACAAGTAGGCTGGAAACTTCTTATGGAAGAGGATTGCATCTTTTTTTTTTTCAACTCTCCATTACTGGCCACTAGCTTAATAAACATCAGCTGAGTTAAATTAGCAACTGGAGGTTCTTGCCATGGGCAATGTTGTACCCACTTTCACTTAAGTACAGCCAAGACTGCCTTACTCCTGAACACAGACTTTCACCATGGATCTGGATAAAGAGAATACTTATCAGATGTTAAACCTCCCTCCCTACGAACCGATACAAGCTCTGCCTGAAGAAAGAAAACCAATCACGTCCCTTTTACTTACCTTAAACAATAGCAAGAGCAGCCAGCTGGGGCAGAAGTTTCATCTCTGACAGTGAAGAAGGTGCCGCCTTACCATCTCAGGCCAGCAGACCCTACTGATCACTGAGCCTCAACGGACTTAACAACTATTCGTAGTATGGCCCACATATTGGATACAGGACACTTCTTTTCACAGCCAAAGTACAGACTCCAGTTCCAGAAAGGTCATGAGCTTATCAAATAAATCGATTGGGGGAATGTAAAGGTTAATTGGCTCTATAGCGGCAACAAAATGTACCAGGCAATCGGTGCCCCGGACATCCATTGCTGCTGGCCTTACAGACCCACAGGAGAGCTAGTGCCTACACACAAGAAGAGTTCCCTGTCACAGTCTAAGCAAGCTGGCTTCAAAAGGAGGCTAGAACGAGAGTAGCTTCCTCCTCCTCCTCTTCTCTCATTTTGCTAATGGGCCAGGTTCACTGAATGCCTCAATCCTCAGAGTTTTACAAAAAGCTTCCTATGGGCATCTCCTCACACTTGACCAAAATCAGTTCATAGCTTTGGAATGCAAAAGCATCCGAGCATTCCAAAAACACTCTGTAAATATTTCATTTCAAAAGATGGAAGAAAGCTTTTCTGAAATGTCAACTATGTTTTTCCAAACTGCTGAGTGCCAATCAGTGACAATAAAAACCATTAAAATGTAAATTTTCAAGGTCATTAAAACTGATTACAATCTCCTTTGTTATATCAACACCTCATTATAACATACAAGTAGGCAACACTACAAGGACACCTAAGATGCAGGCTTTGTTCCCCACTTCAATCAAATGTAAAAGCAATTATTTTTATGATGGATGTACAAAGGCTTTAACCAACAACGTCAGGCATCCCTGATAAGCCTAGATATAAGAGAGGTATTTTCTCATAAAAATGCCTTCATTCCATCTCTGCATTGTTCAATTATGATAACAAGCCAGAGCAGGAATGCATAAGTTAGTAGATAAATACAATTTAAGAATTTTTTTCTGGAAAATTAAAGTAATAAGCTTACCTCTTTGCAATTTTCTGAATTAGAGAAATGTATAAGGTCATCATTATACATTTCTTGAGTATTGATAATGTCACTATATTCTTTCTGACTTAGGTCTTCAGGGTTAATGCCATTGGCCCGCAGAAATTCTTGGTAGGCCACGCTGAATGCCTGGCCAATGGACTGAGCAATCAGCTGCGCCTGTCAAAAAAGAAAAAGACGTAATTGAGAACTTTGTCCTGCATAACCCCTCTGGCTCCAAGCATCAGGAAAGGCAGCAAACAGCATAGCCACAGGCTCCCAATAGGAGAGCTTGCAAAGTGAGTACACAGGGTTTCAAGGGGTCAGTTGCTTGGAAATCTGCCCTTTAGAACCAAAAATAAGAAAGGAACTCCATCCTCCATCTGGCAATGATCGAATCTCAATCAATACTCTCATAGCCAGGAATAACTTCAGGCCAAATTTTGAGGCTGGTCGGTTGTCTTTGGTGGGTCTCTCCTACCTCCTTCCTGTACCCACTTGCAACACATACATCTTTCTGTCTCCTTTACCTCTTACCCCAGCACTTGGGGCTTTATGCTTCAATCAGAGCCTTACTGTTAAGTAGAGGAAAGTAATACAACAGATGAATTCTCATTCCAGTGTTATGGATTTAATTTCTTGCCAAGGAAGAAATATCTATAGTTTTTAAAATAGATTCAGTAAGCAAAACTTAACCCAAAGTGGGGGGGGGAATCTAATGATGGAATTGCAGACATTATGGCAGCTGGGTAAGGGATACAATTGTGGGTAGAGGTGCCTTCTGGCCTCTCTAAGTCAGACTGTCTAGCTGCTCATGTCCATGACCAACCCTGCCAATAGTCTCCAAAGGTACCTCCAAATGACAGGTACACTGGCCATTCCTCCCAGGTTGGATTTCCTTTCTAAGTATCCAGGCAGAACAAGGGATTGTTTAAAGATAAGAAGACACATATCCTACAAGCTTAAGGTGCCGAGGTGCAAGAATGATATAGAGAGGAGGACAACCCCACCTGGTTTACAAGGACCCTTAAGGGAAGAGTTCAATAGTAATTCAAAAGTCCTTTCATTCAAATCACTGGTTCTAGAGTCAGAAAACATAGGATCAAATCCTGCCTCTGATGTTTACTACCTGTGTGATTTATCCAGGAGGGCATTTTCTAAAAGCTATATTGTTCTCAGCACTGACATAAATGATAAAGAGAAGAAATGGATAAAACAGATCACCTAAGTCTTTTTTTAAAAATGCTTCATGAAATTGACCTTAATGATCTCTACAGATCCCTACTTGCAACTCCTAAATTCAGATAACCACATAAGGATGTGTCAGCAACATCACCAGATGGGACCTCAAAGGTCAGTTAGTCCAACCAGTACCTAAACTGATACATACCCTTTACAACAGAGGTGTCAAACTCAGGGCCCTCTGGCTACATTCTGCCAGATTAAATGTAATTGGGAAATGTTTTTAAAAATACAATTGTTATTGTTGTTGTTCTGTGGTGACCAACTCTTCATGACCCCGTTTGGAGTTTTCTTGGCAAAGATACTGGAGTGGTTTGCCGTTTCCTTCTCCAGCTCATTTTACAGATGATGAAACTGAGGCAAACAGTGTCGATGTCATCGGACTCCTACCTCCCTCATTACGGATACTGTGCCCTTTTAAATAGAGCTTAACACCATTTGTCTTTAATGATGGTAATGTGTGACACATTAATACATTCTGAATTTGCAACCCATGAAAACCCTCAGATCTTTTTTTGCCCACACTTGTCTAGTAACATTCCGCCATCTTTGTGCCCAGTAGAACCAACTTAAGTTCCTTGAGGGCAGGGACTATTTCATTTCTGCCTTTGTCATCCCATTACCTAGCACAGTGCTTGGCACATAGTAGGTGCTTAATAAATATTTATGTAATTGCATTGACTTGTGCAGTTGATTCCTGGAACCTTTATACGATCTCTAGTCTATGTGCCAGGAAAGCCTTCAGCATCTTTGAAGTGTAGATGCCTAAAAGTCAGAAAACCACTTAGTAAAACAAGTTTAGGATCCCACCTAGAGATCTGCTTGACACTTACCAGCTATGTGAGTAAAGCAATGGTTTTCTAAAACCCGGACCTTGGACAGCAGTGCAGTATAGTGCAAAGGACACTGGTCTTAAGAGTTCAAAGCCCTGAGAGTTTGAGCCCCAGTTCTGACATTTGCAAGCCATGAATTGTCTCCATGCCCTCAATAAAAATGAGGATAACATTATTTGCATTACCTGCCTCCCAAGGTTTGGAGGAAAGCACTTCATAAATGTGAATTGGCATTGTTATCCTTCTTTTCCTTCCAGCCACTTGGGAAATGAAACATCCAGGGTAATAAGATTCCAGTATGGACGCACTTGCCAAATGAAAACAGCCTTTGGCTTCCCAGCATTAAATCACTATCCTGAATCCTCAATGTGCTGTCTCCTAAGAAACATAGCTCCCTCCTCATTAAGGGAGTCCCATGTCTTCCCACCCTCAGCTGAGGCAGCAGGTCTTTATCTATGATCACAAAGCAGAATCAGAAGATTTGACCCAGATGCTTTCCAATTCCCCTCTGCAGTTCTTTTTTCTTCTCACATCCCCCAGTCTGGGTTTCATTTTGCTGAAGGTGATGACATGAGGACTTCTCCCTGCTGGGCCTGCCTATCCACTCCAATCTTCTCTGCCAGCAATAGAGGGAATCTCATAAGCTGGCTTTCACTGTAGCCTACGAGACCTGCATGTTCATCAGTGTCACAACACAGCCTGCTCCTGGCCAGGGCAATCTCTCCTTTGCTCTATACAGGCCAGCGGCTATGTGTCCCCTACCATGGCATTGATGCAACAGAGCCAATGAATCCATTTGTCTTCTAGGACCTATTTTCTTTAGACATGGCTATATTTTAAGCATGTCTGATACCTGCCACATTGTCGATGGAAAAGAGCACGTTTAAAAATCAATAACATCACTCTTGCTACTTCTATCATTCATCGGACAAGATTTGAGAAACTCCCAGACCAGGCTAAGATGAAAACTAAACCTTGGTGGTTTGTAATAATGAAGTGAAAGACTCAGGAAGAGTATGACAGTAACAGTCACCGAATATTTTAAAAGAAAAAAAAAGGTAATTTACTTATTTTCCAATGCCTGGCACATAAATGTTTAATAAATGTCTGTTGATTGATTGATTGAAAGTACTATGCTTGCCTTAGAAGAAAAGAAATTTGAAGCATAGTGGATAGAGAGATGGCCTCTGAATCCTGTCACCCTCCAGAGAATAGCACTTAACCTCTCAATGTCCCAAGCAACTATCTAATACCTTAAGATGCAAAATGGCTGCAGATCTTTGCTGGGAGAAGAGGTTCATTACCCAGAGCTCCTTACACCCATGAAATCACAAGACTGGTTAATAATAATAGTAATAGTAGTACTATTAATTATTATTATCATGCCAACTATGTTATTTATTATTAATAATTAGTATTATTAACAGAGGTAGTATGGTATAATAGAGTACTGGGCTTAAATCCTGCCTCTCACATATACTAGGTGTATCCCTAGACAAGTCATTTAACCTCGAATTTGGCTTAGGTTACTCACTAGGGTTTATCTGTTAAGTTACAGTCTATGCTGGTGGAACTAATTCCCCATCCCAAGAGTTCCCCATGTTACCAAAATCAAAGATGCTTTTCGTATTTGCATATACTAGTTTTATGACTCTCTGAATATTATTTCATGCTCTCATCTATAAAAGGAAAGTCTTGGCTACATACATGGTACTGTGGAGAAAATATGCTGGCCAGAGAATCAGAAGATGTAGATTCTAGGTCTAGGTTCTAGATCTTGCTCTCCAACTCTCTATTTATTTGACTTTACCTCTCTAAGGCTCAGTTTCCTTACCTATAAAGTGAAAAGGTAAAACCAGATAATCTCTCAGAGGTCCTTCAGTGTTAAAATTCTTTACTCTCTTGATTCCCAAGGTTCCTCTGTGCTCTAAAATTTTATGATCCAGCTTATGATACTGCTATTAAACTCCTACACTAATACTTTAACCATGCTATGGAAGTAATCCTGAGAGTTGCTGAAGGCTCAGTCAGTAGACCACAAGTTCTGGCAGATCCTATCACATTGGCAAGTCTTTGAGTTGGAGTGCCTGTCATCAGAAGAGCAGCCTACCTTAGATAAAAGAAACTCATTGCTAGGCTGGTCACCAGGTGGTGATTTTTTTTTTTTTGTTAATAGCCACAATTCATGAAATTATACTTAAGTAGAGAAGGTGTTATAATCTATGTCAGCCAAGCTAGTGCCCACACCAATGGAGTTAAGGCTCTTTTAATGCCTGAAGAACTAAGATACAAATGACTATTAAATAAATAAAATGAAGATAATTAATAGAAATCTCACAACTCACAAAACACATCCAGAATGATGTACTTTTACATGCCACAAGTTGATGGCACTGCACTAGAAACATCCTTAAATTCCTAAGTCTTTTATTTGAAAAAGCTATGAATTTTAGATGATATCACTGCTTTTGTAAATAAAGCCCAAAAAATAGAGGAAGGGAATTATTTCCATTTTTTAAAAAATTAATAAGAATCATCCCCACTTGTATCTGAAATGATCACAAACTCCAAACTTCTGGGGTTAATAAATAGGCCTTTCCTGTTGTTCCTGGTTTATAATGGAGTTTGGGGGCATATTAATTATGATGAGGACAAGATCTGAGATCCTCAGACAAAAGCACACCATCATGGGGCACCATATCCACTTTTCTGGAAAGGGGAGCTTCAAATGCTTCACATACAGCACATGTTGACTTTTATGGCCACAAGGTGGCACTATAGTACCAGTAAATGGAGGCATGGAAGCATAGAGACAAGTATGGTTAACAGAGGATGTGAGAAAAGGGTTACCTAAGTTGACCCAGGCTAAAAACCAAGGTTGAAGAAGTTTGTTTCTTAGCATTGACCCTCTCTCTCACCATCATGGAGTCCAGAACTTCCACATAACCACAACCAACCCCAACCTCGATATATTCTTTAGGGACCCATGGGACTGTGCCTGTCCTTCATCCCCTGGTTCCAGACCCTTCACAAATGCCTTAAGTCCCATTCCCTCAGAGTCCCTTTTTCCAGGGTTCGGATGCATTCATGAGGATCAATAATCGA